CTTAATATTATTGTATACATATAGGGTGTCCGAAAAGTCCTTAGAGTTAGGAAAATTTGCATGTCGCCTTTACGGCTCGACGAAACAAGCTCATTTTTTTACCAAAGATAGAGGCATGTTCACACTCCAAATCCATATGGACAAGGATATTCAGAATCTTTGTTAGGTATGACTATTGACATCAACAAGAAAATTTTACTGTTTCACATAGAGGAAGAAAAACCATATATTTCACAAAGGTTCTCACTAACCTTGTCAGTATGGATTTGGAGTATGAGTATGCCTCTATCCTTGGCAAAAATATCGGCTAGTTTGCTCAAGCCATAATGGAGATAGTTAATTATCTTTTCAATAAAGTGTCTTTTGCCCTATCCTGTATATTGTTTTTTCCTAACTGTGAAACAGTAAAATTTTCTTGTTGATGTCAATAGTCATACCTAACGAAGATTCTCAATATCCTTGTCCATATGGATTTGGATTGTGAACATGCCTCTATCTTTGGTAAAAAAATGAGCTTGTTTGGTCGAGCTGTAAAGAGATATGCAACTTTTCCTAACTCTAAGGACTTTCGGGACACCCTATATATCTATAATATATATATGTACTTATATATATAAACAACTAGCGGAGGTACCCGATGTATGGAGATGATACGATAGCATATATCTCACGGATGATAATACAATGTTGCCACAGTCCTCAACAGCTATTCATCTGCAATATCATAAGCTACACTCGAATCTTTTCTTTTTTAATTTTAATATTTAACACATTAAAGCCGTTATAGACTTTTTTCCTTTTTATATTTTTACTGATGAACTTCTTCCAAGCAAAAAACCAGCAAAATAGAATTTTTCATTGTAAAGCTGTTTTGTACACGATGTTCTTCGTTTTTCCATCTGGAGCAAAAACATATAAATTCTCTCCAGTTCCTACTCTCGAGCATGCCACATAAAGTTGACCATGAGAAAAGCAAGGAGTTTCTAAATTGACACCAGCAACTTTAAGTGATTGCTCTTGAGCCTTATTAATAGACATTGCGAAGGCAAGCCGTACTGGAAACTGAAGTCGTGTAAATTCGAATGGAAAATCAGAAGGGAGCAAAGATATTTTTGGTATGAATACATCTTCACCTTTTGCACAACCTGTCATGATCGTTGCTTCGATTACATGAGGCATTAGAGTTTTGACACATAGCTTTGTACCATTACATAATCTTGGTGCATCCAGATTTCTTAGGAGCATAATAGATGATCCAATTTTCAGACGCAAGTTATGTGGTGGCATTCCAGAAGGTTCGAGTGAATTGAGAAACTCAGTTGGATACTGAACTACCATGTCGATATCTTTAACTGTATCAATTGATTTGTAAGATATAGCTTCACCAAGAAGTTGTTGCTGTATTTGTAGATTGATAGCATTTACATTGACGTTTTTCGGAGCCAGAATAGCACGTTCACATAACCATTTGTGATCTTTGTACTGAGTTTGAATGTTTGGAAACACTTTATTCTTGAGTTCTTCGACTGATTCAACGATATTGCAAAAGTTGTCTGAAATATTAATAAGTCCACTGACTGGGTCAGCAGGTATTTTGCCATTTCCAATTGCGAGAAGTTGTTCAGCGAAACGGCCGGCAGATACGTCACCTTGTAAGTGCACTCTCATGTTAGTACTGAGTTTTAATGGTACAACATGTCTCCAAAGATACGAAGATTTCAAGCAAGCTTTTAGCTCATCAGCGATGGTACCCTTTGGAATAACTGGTAATGTTTGCCTAAAATCGCCAGCAATAAGTACAACTACTCCACCCATATTCTTTCCATTGTTACGAAGATCCTATAAAGTATGGTTCAAAGCTTCTAATGCATACCTATGAGCCATTGTGCACTCGTCCCATACAATAAGCTCACATTCTTGCAGAACCTTTGCTTCGCCAGTTCCTTTGGTAATACTACAGACATGAGTTTGATTTTCCAAAAACTTAAGAGGTAACTTTAATGTCGAGTGCGCAGTACGACCACCGTGAAGCAGCGTAGCAGCGATACCGGAAGAGGCGACCGCAATCGCAATCTTTGACTGATGCCGGATTTTAGCCAATAACAAATTAATGACAAATGTTTTCCCTGTTCCACCAGGTGCATCAAGGAAGATTATTCCACCAGCTTTCTTCTCGATCTGATTCAAAATCGCATCGTATGCAGCTCTCTGATCCGGCACCAACAGTGGCTCATTTGCTGTTATATAAGCATCCAACTCTTTCACATCATAACTTGTTTCTCTGAGCATTGCACTGTTTAATCGATCACCCGAATTTCGTTGAGGAGTTTGGAGCTCTAATTTCTCAAGTTCTTTGCCACCCATCTCTAAAACTTTATTTTCAATAATAATCAGTGCTTGATTAAACATATCTGGTGTATAATCCAAATTCATTCCAGGATTTTGCCTGCGAGCATTTCTCAGAATGACTTAAGTCAAGCTTTCTTTGTACGACTCCCATAATTGTTTTGGATTGGATGGTCCACAAACAGCTAGTATAATAGCAAATAGATTTCTTAATCTTGCTGGCGATTGAGCTGCAGCTGCTTCGGACATGGTGGCATCCCATTGCTGATCATCTTCCAGTAATCCATGTAATTGACATGCTTCACGAAATGTTGCACAGATCTGAATGTTTACAGTTCGAAGAGCTTCAAATGAAGTAGGGCCTCTGACCACATGAAGTAAGAGTCGTAGGAAAAAGCATTCGAAATTATTAGGATGCACAGTGTAAACACGACCCAACGCATCTCCTTCTCTAATGTCTGGATGACCAAGCACAGCAGTTCCTTGAACACGTCGCTTAAACACTTTTTCAGACGCGTTCCATGTGTAGTATTTTGGAACATCACAGTACAACAGCGTTTTGGCAAAGTCGTCTTTCTGGCAGAGTAAGAAAAATGCTGTTCGTGTTGTTCTTGGTGGTTCATTAACTTTCTCATGAACATTATCTTCGGTGAAATAAATGCGTTGACCATTTTCCAAATGAACAGCCAAATGAACAACGGTTGGATATCTTTCGTGAATTGGAAAATCCAAGATTCGCCAGACTGCCTCATTGCTACTGATGTATCTACCTAACTGGTAGTTACTAATTTCATCAACTGGTGCTCCATCTCTTCCCAAACCAAACACTGCCTGATCACTGCCCTTGTTGACATATTTGCAGATGTATTTGATTGATTTTACCGAGTTGCAATATTCCACATTAATGTGGGCTTGAAAGACCCGAGAGAGTAGTGGACAATATGGCACAACCCACTTGTTGTCAATTTCGATTTCTTGAATGGAGTTATTAATTCTCATTTTGATTTTGGCTTTGATACCACCATCTTCTGAACTTCTTCTTCTATACGATGGATATCCATCATCACCAGTTTCTATATCATGCAAAAGTTGTTTTGGATATCTTTTTGTACACTTTTTGTTTTCCATACACGGAGAGTTTGGATTGATACTTCCACATGGACCGTGAATCATAGTCTTGATAATTATTTCAAATAGTCGAGGATCTCGTTCAGGATCAGGTAATTCTGCGCTGATTACGCTATCTATTTGATCTGCTTTAATTTTGTTCTTCAGTCATATCAAAATATGGGCATGTGGTAGTCCTCTCTTTTGCCATTCAATAGAATACATCCAGCATCTTGTTGGCCCAAATACATGGCTTTTGGTAATAATGTTGACCAATTTAATGAGCTTTTGTCTGAACACTCTTGCTAATAGGTCATGACGATCAGAGGGAGCTTGACCTTCCATTAATTCTGCTTGAATTTCTTGCCACTTAGGATTGCAGGTGAATGTTATAAAGAGGTCGGGTCTTCCGTGGTTTCTTACATAAGTCATAGCGTCTTGTGTATATTCATGCATGTGCCGGGGACTTCCAGTGAAAGTTGCTGGTAGAATCACTAATTGACCAAGATTATCAGTTCGTCCATCATTGGCTATAGCATCTTTCAGATGAATGTATTCATCCACTCTAAGCTTTTTTTGATTATAACGTAGAAAAGATAATCTTTCACTTTCGATCTTAGCGTACATGTCAACCACATACTGATGGAAAAGTTGTTGGCACTGTAAGATATGATTGACAGCACCATTTCGTACCATAATTCTATAAGCATAAAAACTCATAGCCGACACCTTTTTGCCAGTGACAGCCATTTCAGTTGTTGGATCAGTCTGTTCGATAAGAAAATGGTAGCCATCCTCACCTTTCCAAAAAATGAGAGGATATTGCAAGGCATCATACGATCTGTGTGTCTCAGATACTCTCTGTAACTGACCATTTTTCTTCTCCAAGACAATATCTCGTTTCTCAAAGTCGTTGCCAGCGATGACAACCGCCACCTCATTTGTCACTGGCTCATTGAAACGACGTGCATGCTCTCCAACAGGTTTCATGTCTGCTCGAATAAGCACCTTGTATTGATCTGTAGGCATTCTTTGAAGGGCAGTCTTGAAAAGATCAACATAAATGTGGTGCTCATGAACCATTTTCTGTAGTTTCTCGACAATGTCTTGACGTACGCTAGGCATGTTTTTGCAACGTTGTTGTACTTCTTTTCGATCGTCGCCCATGAAGTAAATTTGAAGAAATTTATGTTCTTCATTCGAAGGCGGCAGCAGAGATCCTACGCGATGATATACTTGACCCTGAACTCTGAAAGTAGGCATGAAGCCTGGGTCAGCCACTTTCTCTGACGTGCCAAAAGATGTCATTTGAAAGCAGGAATTGTATTTTCTAATGTTATCCAAGAAATGCTTCGATTCAGGCGTTGTTCCTGACATTAATGATTCCAGTGGTTCAGGAGGAGGCTGAAGTTCAGGTAACTTTACTTTACCACCAGAGCAGCACATACCTCGTGTTTCTGCATGCCACTTGAGGGCATTACAGTATGGGCAAACATCACTCATTTGTCCAATATAAAGTTGAGGATGGCTGTCATAGTTGTTGGCTGGATCATAACGAAACGCTTCCCCTTCCATAAATGTCCATTGCGCTGCTCTTGAGGCTGCTTGTCGTCTACGCTGATCTTCACTTCGAGTCCGTCTCTGTATGGGATCCTCAGCTCCTCTTGTAGCTGCATGTCTGGCTCGATCTTCTTTCCGTCGACCTTGTCTCTGTTCTGGAGATTCAGCTGCTCTTGAAGCTGCATGTCTAGCTCGATCATGTACCCGTCGACCTTGTCTCCGTTCTGGAGATTCAGCTGCTCTTGAAGCTGCTTGTCTTGCACGTTGTCCATCAAGTGGAATGCGTGTGTCTTCAGAATCTTCAGCTGCTCTTGTTGCTGCCATTCTTCTTGCAGCTGATGTACTTCTTCCCAAAGAAGCTCTTTTTTTTTACTGGCATCACGTAATATTTTTATCTAAATAAGAAATATAGAAAATAGAAAATGTTCCGAAGAGAATGAATTTGCAATCTTACCTTTTGAATTTACTGTTGATATCACGATCGAAAAATATTTGATAACCTGGACGCTTATAATTTTTATATGGAATATTGAACACTTACTCGTTTTTGGACAATTATGTTCAGTGATAGAATAGAATATTGTTTTTATTAAAAGCGTTGAAGAATAAGAAATACTATAGTGAGTTTAGTTTTATTAATGAAAAACAAAAGAAAAAGATACCTAATTATATAGATGCAAAACAATAGCATATTTCTATGTCATCATCATCATTTAACATGACGTAAACATTCCAATGACGATATGAAATATGATATATGAGGAGGAATGTTATACATGGCATCATACACAACAAATGACAAAGAAATGAAGTCATATGTATTCAAGAATGTAATACAGCTGATTATTGAGTAAAATTGTATAAATAGTAGTATATATAGATACCGTTAATACGTCATATTTCTGAGTCATGAAAAAGAACAAAGACGTTATCTTTGAACGTCAGAAAAAAATGCATGCGTCATTGTTGTAAGTAAAATAAACACAAACACATTTCTTTATGTATATAGATGAGCGCTCAGACGGCCTTCGGCCGCCTTCGCTATCAATTATTTTAATTTTTTGGAATGCTGCAATCCTATTGGCCAGTTTTCTAGATTGCCTGTAGCAAGCACAGGATTGGCATAGATAGATTGAACATGTGAAATGTTGTATATGAGCGCTCAGACGGCCTTCGGCCGCCTTCGCTATCAATCATTTAAATTTTTTGGAATGCTGCAATCCTATTGGTCAGTTTTCTAGGTTGCCTGTAGCATGCGTAGGATTCGTTTTTTTTCGGAAAAAAATACATGTCGACCTTCTCCTAGGTGTAAAGACCATTTCTGGAAAGTTTCATAGCATTTGCTCGTACCCTGTCCAAATGCATGAAGAACAAACAAACAAACAGACAGACAAACATTCTTCTTTATATATATAGATTCTTCTTTATATATATAGATATATAACATATAGAAATTTAGAATTATTATATAATCCATTTCCGGCATCAACTCAAAATATCAACTGACAACAATGAAAAACAATAACAGTTCAAGGGTTAAGAGGCTTATGGCCATCACTGCCCACGGAAAAATTTTTGGAGTAAAACCGCGGTCAACCGCGTTTTTTTATCACCGCGTTCAAAGCAAACCGCGGTGAATATTATGAGAACCGCGGTATAATATATCGCGGTTAGTCGCGTTTTCATAAACCGCGG